TATATATATATATATATATATATATATATTACACGTGTGGTAAATTTTATTTATTCCAAGTTGATGTTGTCTTCGTCACAATTTCTTTAAATGTAAATATTAATAAAAATAGAAACAACTAGTGACAGCAAATTATAAAATATAATTATAGAGCCTAAAATGAATGAAAGGAGTGAATCAATAAATAATGTCAATAGCAACAATTATGATGAAAGTAATGATGGGAGTAATTGTGGTGATAATAACAATAAAAATCATGTAAAAGATTCTTCTAAAAAAAAAAACTTAGGTTATTTGCATAAATGTTCATTTGCGGGCTGTGAAAGAACTTTTAAAAAACCATCTCGATTGACTTGGCATTATCGTCAACATACAGGAGAAGTGAGTATAAATATTTCCAATTAAAAAATATTTATAAGTATATCGAGAATGAAGTGAAAAAAAATTTATTTATTTTTATTTTTATAAAATCTTTTTTACATCAAGAACTTTTGAAGAATTAAATGAAAATGAAGTTAGCTGACATTTCAAAATTTTTAGAAATTTTTTTATCCAAAAACTTCAATTAAACAATTAAAAAAAAAAATATCACTTGTTAAAAACTTGAAAAACTATAAGTGCGATTTCTTAAAAATATCTTTTTAGTTGTAATTTAATTAAAAAAAAAAAAAATCAAAAATTTTTAGACGTCTGCTAACTTCAGTGTCACAGAATTAAAAATTTCTGCCTTTAGTTGGTTTTTTAATAATGATATATAATGCTGAGATTTTAATACTTTAGTCGATTAAATTAAATCAAAAAAGAAAATAAATAAATAAATAGCCAACTTTATCCTACCTCATTTAATACTTTAGTCGAATTTAAATAATAATAATAATCATACTATAAGTCAAATTGTAATACAAATTAAATTATAATACAATTAATATTAACAAACTTCAAAATGTTATACTTTAATTTATATAAAACTGCTCACTATTAATGTAATACTCTGTACTTTACGATCCTTATGGAACACTAGTTCTAGGGTCGATTATATTAAATAAATAAAAATAAAATAAATAAAACCCAACAGCCTAAAGGCCAATAATAGGGTCTCTAAATAAGTTTATACAACTCACATAGTATTATTTAAATTTAAGTGAAAAGAAAAGTAATAAAAAAATAAAAAAAAAAAAGAAAACACTGGAATTTTTACAAATATTACAATAAATATAATGTAATATTAATTTAAAATAATTATAATATATAAAAATTAACTGAAGATGTTTAACTAAAAATTTGAGGGATATATTGAAAGTGAGATTAATATTCTACTGGTTTGAATATAGACATGATTATTAATTTATCAATTTGACTTAGTTGTTTGCTATCTAAGAAATACTAACAGATTAATTAACAATTAATTTTCTCATTTTTCAGAGACCTTACAAATGCAATTTCATATACTGTGGTAAAACCTATGTAAGCACCTCTCATCTAAGACGTCACCTAAAATCTCATGTGCCTAATCATGAGGGTATTGAGTAAATATAAATTTTAAATAGTTCAAAATGTTTAACTGAAAGGATACTAAAATAAAAATTTTTATTTTTTTGCAGTACCATAGTGTTGTATCGATGTGGCACTTGTCAATCGACGTTTAAAGCTCAAACCAATTTGAGAAAACATTATCAGCGTTTTCATGAAATAGAACGACTGTTCTGTGAAGAATGTGAACGTTTTTTTCGTCGTAAGAAAAAGTATATGGAGCATTTGGCAAGATATCATAATGGTGAGTTATTCAAATGTGATTACTGTAAGCATGAATTCAAGGAATTTGCCAAACTGAAGACACATATGAAGACACATGATACCAAGTATAAATGCACTAAAGAGAATTGTGATGTTATTTGCGATACTTACTTCGAATTACGAAGACATTCCGCAACGCACCCAAAAGGTAAATTCAAGCTATTTTATTTATTTAATAATTAAGTTATAATTTATATTATTAATTTAAAAAAATATGTTTGTACCAGAGTACACAATTAAAAAGTGAAATATCATTTTTCTACTATTTACAACTTTACAAAAATTGGATAGATTAGGTTTAGGAAAAAAAAATTTTTTCCGTATTAAATTAAAGCTATTTTTGTATGATAGACATGCACACAAATTTGAATAATTGATTTTATCATTGCTCTTATTATAATTACTGTATTTCATCAATTATGATCGTTTCATTATTACCATTGCTGTCATTATTTAGACTCTGCCAGTATTTAATCTCAAAATTAGTTAATCAGTCTACAAAAATTCTATAACGAACTTTGATATTCATATTTCATAACTTAGTAAAAATAATTCAAAGCAAATATATAATAACTTTCTCAATTACACAAGTTATGAATAAATAATTGGAATTATCTATTCAAAGTAATACAATTATATGATGACAGTTAATCTTGTATATATGCAATGATTTTATAGAATTCAAAATGAATAAATAAATCATTAGAAATTAATAATTAAAGATGATGTACGTATATATATTTTTATTTTCTAATTGTGTTTTATTTTATTTTAAAATTATTATTTAATTTGTTGTTTTTAAATATTTTTAGACTTAATAATGTTTATTAGATTTATTCTTTACATCGTTATACTGAACTTTGATAAAAAAAAAAAAAAAAAAAAAAAAAAAAAAAAAAAAACTTGATGCGTAACCGAAAATCGTAACGATTTTTTTTACATAGCTATAAAATTTCTTTCATACGTCGATAAAAAAGTTTAACTTAAAAAATGATTTATTTACAATGAAGTATGATTGTATACAAAATCGTTGTTTCAACTTTCTTTTGTACTGACTAAAAATTAATATTATTTTTTTTTCTTTTTTAGAGTACAAATGTGACAAATGTATGAAGATGCTGTCTACTTCTAATCTGTTAAAAAGGCATTTAGCAACCCATGAAGACAAACTTAAAATTTGCCCATATAATAACTGTGATAAAAAATATCATCACACAAATCAGTTGAAAAGTCATATTAGAATTAAACATGAAAAAAGGGTATTTCAATGTGATTTGTGTAAAAAAGAGTTTGCATATAAAGTTACACTGGTAAAACATATCTCCCTAACGCACTCAAATGAAAAATCAAAAATTTTTGAAAAAGATGATAAAGGAAAAATAAAATGTACTGATAAAAACACACAAAATATGCTGCCAGCGTCGACTGAACTTTTCTCCTCGGAAGATGATAAATCTAGTATTAATTTATTGGAAATAAATTTTGAATTTGTCAAAGTAGAAGAGATATAATTAAATATTTAAACTATTAGTTAATATATTTAGTATTATAAGTATTATTTACAATAATAAACTTGTATAAAATGATTTGTTCAGGCATTAGATTAATTTATAGATATCTTAAGTTTAGTAATTTGTTTTGCAATATAAATTATAAAGCGATAGTTTAAATATTTTTTGTGTACTCGTTTTTTTTTTTTTTCACTGTTATTTATGTAAAAAAAGATTTGTTTAAATATTAATTTATATATTAGATAATATTCTATTGATTATTATTCATTTGACGTAAATACTCTGGTGCGTGATAATGTTGCTGTGTATGAGCAAGTGATGGATGAATTGGCGGTGGGAAACATCGAACATGCTCAACGCTAGTTGAATCACTGTCACCACTTTTTAAATATTTATTTAATACCGCAAATATTTGTGAATTCAAGACTTGGAACCGTCTTATACGATCAACCATACGTTTAAGATTCTGAAAAAAAAGAAAATTTTATAATTAAGTATCACCATTGGTCAATTATAATGATATATTATCATTCATCTTCTTTAGTATAAATACTTACAATTCCTTTAACATTTTCATCTTTTCCATCAACTCTTTGAACTCGTAAAATGTGATAGCAAAAATCTAATGCTTCAAATCGTCTTTGCTGGCCTAATAAAACAATCATAGCACAACCAGCCCAGTGCAAACCTTCGCCAAACAATTCTCTGTAAATAAAGTAAATAATTAAAGTTTACTGTGATGATTTTTTTTTATATTAAATAATAAAAACAATATTTACTCTACGGTGAATTCTGTATCTCCAACGGGAATGCAATAAACAAACTGCAACGCACTCCACAGTCTATGGAACTCTGTACATTCATCTATGTTCATTACTCCGTTTACAGGAGGTGGTCCAACCCAAATTGGATCATCAAGGAAGCTCTTCAGTCGACTCAACACAACTTCAAATATTGACAATCCACAACATAAACGTTCTCTTGTTAATAGATCACCTTCTCTAGCAATCATTGCTTGCTATAATATATAAAAAATAATATTAAATTATATAAAATGTAAATAAACGTTGTCTCACATTGAGAAAAATAAAAGTTCTTTTAAAAAAAATTGGCATTTTTGTGGCAAACACTAAATTTGTTGGAAATTTTTGACAATTTTATTTTTTAGCTGAAGAAATCAATCAAAATTTTTCTCACTGAAAAATTTCTTGATGATAAAAAGATTTTTTGATTTAGAAAAAAAAAACAATTTGCGCCCAAATTTTTTTTTTCTAAATCAAAAAATTTTTGAAAAAAATTCTCGGTAATTATTTACAAGTGGGGTCAAATCTATTTTTGGCCATATCTAGGTGAAAAATTAACATTTTTTAATTTACTTTATTTTTAATTCTGCTTCGATAGTTTTTTTGCCTCTAAAAGTTGGAAAAAATGTTACCTCTCATGTTTTTGGATCAAATTTCTATTTTATTTTTTTTTGAAAAATACATAAAAAAAAAACGAACAATTAAAAAAAAAAAAAAAAATGTACATCACAATTTTTAAAAAATGTATAAATTTTTTTTTTAATTTGTTAAAATTGTGATAATCAACTTTCTTTTTTTAATTGTTCATCTTTTATGTATTTAAAAAAAAAAAAAATATATCAAAATTTTCATGAAAAAATTTTGTTCAAAAAAATGAAAATTAAAATAGTTGCCTCCACTTGTAATTATTTACTAAATTTTCAATTTTTCAGCTAAGAAATGAAATTGTTAAAAATTTTCAACCAATTAACTTCTTATTACATGGCTCATTTTTTTCCAAATAAATTTTTCTCCCAGTGTATAAATATCATAAGAGCGTAGCGCATAAAAAAGTGCCGTTTTAAAATACAATTTAATTTTAATATAAGAATTAATAATCATAAATTTAAAAATTATCTTCACGCGCTCATGATTTTCAAGCAAAATTAATTAATAAAATAATTACTTTAGCAGTTCCAAGTTTGTCAACATTTGGAACAATTTGTAACGCTGCATACTTAGCTTCTAATCTTTTTTGTTTTGTTTCTGGTTTTTCTCCCTCTGTAAATAAAAAATTAAATCAATTATTTCTAATAAATATCAAGTAAAAAAATAAAAATTACCTTTACAATATGGTCTGGGTAAAATATTTTGAAAAGGAGCAGCATGAAGTAGATCACAAACTTCTTCTTGCGACAAAGCTTGTTCCATCAGTAAGCAAAACAAAATAGTGTTTCCAAACTCTCTAAAATTATGAAATAATTCAGTTTTGGCATCTGGATACTGAACAATATCATTAAGTTGTGCATGGTAGTATCCAAGAACTCCTGGAGAACCATAATCATATCTCGGTAATTTACAAACTTTAGGCATTGCCTCCATCAAGGTCTTAGTAAATTGTAACAAACTCCCTTGAATTAATGACTTAACAATTTTTAATAATTCCTCCATTACTACCGCAATTCCTTGATAGCCCAACAATTTACACATAGTACGAAAATGTTGTGGCCCAACAAACCCCGTATATTGTCCATACTGAGTACTGTACGCTAAATTTAATTGTTTGCTCCCCCATAAATAATGGTGGGACATTTGCGGGGGCTTATCACGGTGCACTGGCTGTACAAACTGCAATCCCCTGCATTTAACAAATCGATTATAAGCGGCATTGTAGCAGTAATTTGGCAAAAAATCATAATTTAATTCCCAAAAAACGTGCAACGTTATTCTTCCATACGGCGCCAGTACATTGTGATTAGCTTCACGAAACATGGCATCATACTCATCTAAAGCAAGCCACTTACTTAATAATTTATGAGTAAGACGATTTACTTGTAATAAACCTTCAAGCTCAACGATTCCTGTAATATCTCCAGACTCAAATTTACTAATTGCCAAATCCAGTGATTTTTGCATGTCAGCATTGATACGCTGGGTTATCAATTTATTCAGGTCAATACTGCGCCCAAGTAATTGTACATGACGCTGTTTCAACAAAGTTTGATAACGATTAGCACGCGGATAAGGTAATAAATAAGCACCCAAAGCAACACACTCAACACGAAAACGTTTATCGAGTAAAATACTAGCTGCTAATTGCTTATAGTGTGCGAAAATTTGTTCACTTAATTTATAAACAAACTGATCAAAGCATAAATTAACTTCAGCTTCAACTTCATCGTATAAAAATTGTTTTCTGAAAATAGTTAGCGCATAAAGTGCACTGTCGTTGTACAAGTCTAATGGATAGAGTACATACTCCATCATTGACGGTTCTTTACTTTTTAAAATATGATCAGTTAATATCCAGGGCATTGACATTTCAATTGGAAATTGAATTCTTTTTTCCATTGTTATTAAATCACTGCACTCTTCATTATGCTGATGACGAACTTGGCATTTTTGAATTTTACGTCCCATGGTCATTTCTAAATAAAATTCTCGATACCATAATTGAGATAAATCACAACAATTCTGAAGTGATTCACTGAAGTTCAATAAATAGCCCCAATAAAAACTGGTCTTGTGAAACTGGTCTATCTGAACAAGATACTGTCCATCAATATCTTTTCTTAGAGTACGTTTTCCTCCACTTTTATCAGCAATAAGTGACTCAAGCATCGTACGTACCATATAGAGTTGTGTCGAAGACGGTCCAACATTTCTACGAGGTACTTTAATACCAAATCCATTCTCAGGATCTTTTTTACCCTTCAATGCTGGATCAGTTGATGGTTCGACGCCAAAATGCCAATCTGCACAAGTCTCACGTACTGATACTATTATACTACGAATTAAATCTTTTTTATTTTTTATTGCTTTACGTAAAGGTTCACGTAAGATCAATTGAACAAAATCTTGTAGTTCAGCATAAATATTACGACGTATCGCATCAATAAAAACAGTTTCCATCCTCGCCATCAAAACTTGCAAGCCTTTTATCATCGCAATAACTTCAATTAATGCAAATTTTTCTTCATCTGTATAATTATAACGAGTTGCACGCTCATATTCTTCAGCTTCTGGAGGACATTCTTTGTTCATATGATGATCTGTTGGATGTAATAATTTCCAGCTGTACAATTCTGTAACAACACTCGTCCACTGTGATAATAATTGAAGTCCACGCAGCGCCAATTCCGAAGTATCGTTATTTTCCGAATCAGAACCACATTCTTTGTAAGTTGTCGTTACTTCATTGCTGTACTTGGCTAACTCGCTTATATATTTAACATGATCTTCACGAATTTGCGGTAAATGGACCATTAAATCAGCTTGCGGACTCATTGAATTTATTGAAGACGACAGCGGCCACTTGGAAGCTTCAAAATGTTTTGAACGTTTTATATAATTAAATGGAGCTATTTGCATGTCACCAAACAGCGGTACAACTTCAAGATTTTTAAATATACGATCAATCCGATCTAATTTCAATTTTTTCTTTTGGTCTAATTTATTTATATTACAGAGCTCGCTGTCCATTAAAAAGAGACCAAAGCCCATAACTTTTACAAGCATGTGCTTCTCATTTGGTGTTAGATACATTTTAGTTTCAAACATGTGAACACAAATGTTTACAACATCAGCGAGCAATTCTTCATAACCGGGAATTTTTTCTAAATTTTCCTTTACAGTATCTCGAATTTTATTTTGCGTTGCCAAAAACATCGAGAGATTTTGTGATTCTTGAAGAGTTTGAGAGTCAGACATAACTTTTAAAAATTGTGCAGCACGACGGTACGTTGAATAATCATTTTTAACACTAGATTTCATATTCTTCAGCTCATCCAATACCGCAAACATATTTATAAATTTACCCAGGGTTAATAAATAAGCTTCGGAGACAAAATCTTTGCGTTTTTCATGATGACAGAGACGCTTAACTTCTGCAGAAAAACGTTCTATAGCTTTACGCTGGAAGTACATAAAATTTAATAATTTGTTAACTTCTGGTGCTAATACTTCAACGGTTTTTTCATAAATTTCTACACGGTTAGGTTGCTCATTGGACTTGGGCTGCGGGATGGCTCGTGAGCAACATCTCCATGTGTATAGCATCACCGCGTGCTCAAGACCTTCTTCTAATAGTTCATTTAGACTTGCATGAACTGTCGCTTCTTCGATATATTTAGCTATTCCTGTTACAAAGCCATTACGATCTTCGAAATTAGTATCGAAATTTGCTTGATACACCACAGAGCATGGTTGTGCTTCGATACATGGCTGTTCATCCGGCAATGTAAATTCATCAAGAACGTCTACGTTTGACAAGGCATCGCCCAGTGTTACCTTGTCGGCTGTCATTTTATCCGAGGACAATTGGTCTTCTGAAAGAATGATAATTAATTAATTAATTTATTTATTTATTTATTCGGCTTTATAAGGCAAAAGACCTAATTATTGATGCTGGCCTAGTTATTGACTTAATAAATAATAAATTTTAAGATAATTGATTTTTTGAGAATATTTTATTTTTTTTAATAGTTAGAATAAAATTGCAAGTGTCAAAAAATTAGGACAGTGTCAATAACTGGGTCTTTTACCTTACATTAGGTTTACATTAATTAAATTTAGTTTTAGGTAAAAAAAAAAGAAAATAAAAAAAAGCATTAACATTTTGTTAGAATTTAATTTAAATTAAATCAATTTCATTTACTTTATAAATTTAAATTATTAGCATTATAAAAAAATGTTTCTGGGTAATTATTACAAGACAAAATAAAATTGTGCTTTTCAAGAGACTTGTGAATTTAGCATGAAAATTAATTTAAAAGATATTTAATTATTTTAAGAATTTTTTCAACAAATAAATTATGGCAAAAAAATTAAAAAAAAAAATTGACATGTAGAAATTTAAAAAAATAAAAAATGCAATTTTTTTTTAATAATCTTTTGGAAAAAATCTATTTTTTAAAAAAACTTAAAAAATGGTCAACTTATCTTTAATTTCATGAATTTAGCAGATATTTAATTTTTAGAATTTTTTTAACAAATAAATTATGAAAAAATGAATAAGAAAAAAATATTGACATGTAAAAATATTCAAAAAATTATAAATGCAATTTTTTTTTAATTTTTCAAAAAAAATTTGTTTATTAAATAAAATTAAAAGAATTATCAAGTGACTAACGTTAATGTTATTTTTAAAAAAATTACAATTATTAGTCATCAATTTCAATAATTATTTAATTTACTAAATTCATTTTTTCAATTATTAAATGTGAATTTTTTTTTATTTAAAAATTAACTTTTTTTATAATATATAAAATAAATTATAAAAAATTTTTTCTGTTTTATGGAACAAATAATCTAAAGTCTATTCGTAAAAATAATATCTTTTGCTTGAATAAAAAATTAATTACGAGTAATTGCCCACTGTCAATACCATTTTTAGTAAGACAACTTAAAGACAAAAAAATTTATAATTGACTTTATTAAAAAAAAAATCGTTTTATAAAGGAAAATTAACGCTTAAATTGTAAAAAATAAACAAACTGACAATTAGATAGTTTATGAAAAAAAAAAACATTCTTATATAAATAAATATTTACCTTCCGCTCAATAATTATTAAACTTGTTGCCAACGCATGGATTGTTACATAAAGTAATAAAAATTATTAAATAATATGAATTAGTGAATGATGGATCAATGATGATAATAATTGTTAGGTAAATAAATTTAACACAAAATTTCTGATAATTTTGACATCAAATCATGCACAGACGCCACATAGACGCCCATTAAAACTCCACCCACAAAGAATTTGATGGATTTTCAAACGAATACTCAACATTATAAAGATTCATTTTCACTGATCGAATCAATGGGCTGTTTTACAAAACAAAAAAATTAGGATTTGTTTGAATTTTTGCATATAGGGGGCGTTGTGTTAGATACAAACATCAAACATGGAGGATATTTCTTTTCCTTCCATATAGAAAAAAAATTTTGGTTGCATTGCACGTTAAAGTGCTCTTAAATTGTATATTAATTACTTTTATTTATTTTTATGGTGTTTAAATAAAATAAGTAATTAAATTTAAGGTAAGTTTATTAATTATTCATAAATTATTTATTGCAATTGATTTTATACATTACTTACTTTAAGACATTATAAATTAATGTTATTTTGATAAACATATTTAAAGATTGTAAAGGTTGTGTTTCGATTATAAATTGTTTTTTCTGTAAGGTAGATGACCACTTTACATTCTTAGAGTTTTTTTTTTTTGTTATTTAGCAAATTATTATTTTTATGAGTTTTAGTGGAATGTTGAAAAAATGAAAAAAATATTGACAATAAACTTTTGAAGGCATTCAACAGTAAAGATAAAATTTTATGAAAATGAATCATGACAAAGTTAACAATGACTTGAAAAATTTTTAATTTTTTTTAACAAAAAATTTGTTTTGAAAAATTATTTTTAAAAAATTGCATTTTTTATTTTTTAATATTTCTACATGTCAATTTTTTTTTATGAAAATAAAGTTAGCCGACATTTAAAAATTTTAAGATTTTTTTCATTAAAAAATAAAAAAAAAAATTTTTCATTTGTTTAAAACTTCAAAAACTATGAGTGCAATTTTTTAAAAATATTTTTTCGTTATAATTCAATAAATTAAACAAAATAAAAAATAAAAAATGTCGGCTAATTTTATTATTATTATTATATTTTTTTTCTAATTTTTTTTGCCATAATTTATTTGTTAAAAAAATTTTTGAAATTATTCAATATCAGCTGAATTAATTTTCATAATTTAATCTAGCAGATATTTGATAATTTTCAAAATTATGTACAAAATAATTTAAAAAAAAAATTTACACAGAAATTTAAAAAAATTAAAAATGCAATTTTTTAAAAATAACTTTTCAGAACAAATTTGTTTGTTAAATTGAATAAAAAAAAATGGTCAAATATTTGCTAACTTTAATTTCACTAAAATTTTTAAGACTTATAAATTAAAAAAAAAAATTTTATAATTACAACAAAAATTCTGTATAAAATAATAATAATTTATTACCAAAAAAACACATATTTGGAAAAAAAATATAGTAAATAGTGTACAATACAAAATATCTATCCTAAAGAGATGATTTCCATCTGTACATAGGACCGGTATAGTAATTAATATCCATGAAAACAAGATTATTATCATAAAAATTTGAAACTTAAGAACTAATTAACTTAATTTATTCTGTGATTCATTTTAACCATTTAGTTATTTTCAACTTAATACATCTTTTAGAACCGCCTAACATTTTTAAATTGTTTGGTAACCTATTGTAAAATTTCATATCAACAATATAAATAATTAAATAAACATTTTTTCCAGGTACAAAAATGTCTGACTCAGAGAGCAGTAATTATTCTGACAATGAAAGCGAACGTGGAGCAGCTGCTAGTGGTAGTGAACCCGAAGACAATAGATCAGCAAGATCCGGGAGAGGCAGTGGAAGATCCGCTTCAAGAAGCAGAAGCAGATCACGTTCAAAATCACGCAGCCGTTCACGTTCTCGTTCAGGCTCCGGTTCAGAGGGAGCTCGAGACGATGAGGCCGAAGAGGCGAATTCAGGTGATGAAAATGTCGAGCCTGAGGAAGAACCGGAAGGAGAAGACTTGGACAGTGAAGAGTATGAAGATGAGGAAGATGACAGGCCACGAAAGAAGAAGAAGAAGGATAGATTCTGTGGATTCATTGATGACGAAGCCGAGGTGGATGATGACGTTGAAGACGACGAAGAATGGGAAGAAGGAGCTCAGGAAATAGGAATCGTTGGGAATGAGGTTGATGAGCTGGGACCGACAGCTCGAGAAATTGAAGGACGTAGACGTGGTACCAATCTTTGGGAATCTCAGCGAGAAGATGAAATTGAAGAGTATTTACGTAAAAAGTATGCTGATGAGTCTGTAGCTCACAAACATTTCGGAGATGGAGGTGAAGAGATGAGTGATGAAATTACTCAACAGACTCTTTTGCCGGGTGTCAAAGATCCTAACTTATGGATGATTAAATGTCGTATTGGAGAAGAAAAAGCAACAGTACTTCTTTTGATGCGTAAATTTTTGACGTATCTTAACACTGAAAGTCCACTGCAAATAAAATCAGTTGTGGCGCCCGAAGGAGTCAAAGGTTACATTTATATCGAAGCTTACAAACAACCACATGTTAAAGCAGCTATTGAAAGCGTGGGTAATCTCCGACATGGTATTTGGAAGCAACAGATGGTACCAATTAAAGAAATGACTGATGTGTTGAGAGTTGTTAAAGAACAAACTGGATTGAGAGCTAAACAATGGGTAAGATTGAAGCGCGGTATCAATAAAGACGATATTGCGCAAGTTGATTACGTTGATCTAGCTCAAAATCAAGTTTACTTGAAATTATTACCCAGAATAGACTACACTAGACCACGTGGAGCGTTAAGAACCGCTCAAGCTGAAATAGACGCTAAACGTAAAAAGAAAAGACGACCACCAGCAAAACCATTTGACCCAGAAGCTATTCGAGCTATTGGTGGAGAAGTAACTAGTGACGGAGACTTTTTAATTTTTGAGGGAAATCGTTACAGTCGCAAGGGATTTTTGTATAAAAATTATAATACAAATGCTATTATTGTCGAGGGAGTTAAACCAACATTATCAGAGCTGGAACGCTTTGAAGAAGCGCCAGAGGGTATTGATATTGAATTGAGTGGAACTCCGACTACTGGTAATGGACGAGAGGATTCATCAGTAGCCCATTCGTTCAGTAACGGAGACAATGTTGAAGTTTGTGAGGGTGAATTGATGAATCTCCAAGGTAAAATCGTATCTATTGACGGAAATATAATAATGGTTTTACCTAAACACGAAGAATTAAAAGAACCTCTTGAATTCCAAGCCAATGAATTGAGGAAGTATTTTACAATGGGCGACCACGTAAAAGTTGTTGCAGGGCGGTATGAAGGAGATACTGGTTTAATTGTTAGAGTTGAACAGAATCGAGTTGTCTTATTTTCTGACTTGTCGATGCACGAGCTAGAAGTTCTTCCTCGTGATCTTCAGCTGTGCTCAGATATGGCTACTGGAGTTGACAGCTTAGGTCAATTCCAATGGGGAGATCTAGTGCACTTAGATGCCCAAACAGTGGGTGTTATTGTGCGACTAGAGCGTGAAAACTTCCATGTTTTGTCAATGCACGGTAAAGTTGTAGAAGCAAGACCTCAAGGACTTACCAAGTGCCGGGAGAATCGTAATCCTGTGGCTTTGGATTCTCAGCAGAATACAATTCAGAAAAAAGACATTGTTAAGGTAGTTGATGGACCACACGCTGGACGTGATGGTGAAATAAAACATTTGTATCGTAGCTTTGCATTTTTACATTCTCGTATGTACGTGGACAATGGTGGAATATTTGTTTGCAAAACACGGCATCTACAATTAGCTGGTGGTAATAAAGCAATTACATCAATGTCACCGAGCTCTGGTTTTATGTCACCGCGTATTGCTTCACCGATGCACCAAAGTGGTGGCGGATTTGGAAGAGGAGGTGGAGGTGGTGGACGTGGCCGTGGACGCGGTGGTGGCGCTCGCAGAGACCGGGAATTGATTGGTACTACAATTAAAATCACCGGAGGTCCTTACAAAGGAAATGTTGGAATCGTTAAAGATGCAACAGAGACTACAGCTCGTGTGGAGCTGCATTCAACATGCCAAACTATATCTGTCGATAGATCACATATTGCCAATGTTGGAGTGCCAACCAAGGACGGTGGTTTCAGCTCCTACAGCAGAACACCAGCCTACGGAGCGGGTGGTCAGACACCAATGTACGCTCGCGATGGTGCCAAGACACCGATGCACGGTTCTCAAACTCCGATGTACGAAAATGGATCTCGTACTCCTCATTTCGGTTCTATGACGCCTTCACACGATGGATCTCGTACTCCTGGACAGTCCGGAGCCTGGGATCCTACGGTTACTAATACTCCGGCTCGGAACAATGACTTTGATAACTACAGTATGGAGGAAGGTGGATCTCCAGGCTATGCTCCTGGGTATCCGTCTACTGGGGGTCCATTCACACCTCAGACACCCGGGACTATGTACGGGTCAGAACAAAGTTACAGTCCTTATCAACCGAGTCCTAGTCCAGCTGCTAGCGCTACTGCTAGTCCTAGCCCCGCTGGATATGTCGCTACTCCTTCACCTTCAGGTACTGGGTACACTACAAGTCCACATGGAGCTTTTGCAACTCCTTCACCGATGAGCTACAGTCCAATGACTCCTGGTAATTTATCATTATTATTTATTATTTTAGTTTTTTTTGGTAAATTGCATTGGCAATTTTTTTTTTGAAAAAAAAAAATTGTCAAATTTTCTAAAATAAAAAAAATTTTTTTTTTTTCCAATTAAATAAAAAAAATATAAAAAAAATCGGCCCTGTCCGGGATGAGCTGGAATAGTTGTCAAATTGATTAAAGTTTTTTTTTTAGAAAAAAATAATGAAAAAAAAAAGTGACCAACTTTAAAAAAATAACGATTTTGCTAAAAAAAAAAAAACCGATTATTTTATAGAATTTTTTTTGTGTATTTTTTCGAAAAGTTCATTCAAAAACAAAAATTTCAAAAAAAAAGGGCACTCAAACGTCAATGTCTAAAAAAATTATGGTTATTTTTGAATAAAAAAGCCATTTTTTTGAAAAATTCATAACTTTTTGGGGGTTGGATGAAAAAATTTGAAAAAATTCTCAAAAATGTCTCAAAAGGTAGAAAAGAATAAAAAAGTTTCAGCTAAATCTAAAGGGGTCGGGTTTAAAAGTGGTCGATTTGGCACGGAATACCCCATATATATTATACATTAGCAGAAAAACAATAAGTTCTGTAAAATCTTCATCTAATAATTTAAACAGTAATATTAATGCAAGTGATTGTGATTTTATAGGTGTTGCTGGCAGTCCATACAATCCACAGACACCTGGGTCTGGGTTAGATACTGGTGTTGGATCAGCTATGCTCAGTAATTCTGAGTGGCATACAGTTGACATTGAAGTTCGAGTTAAAGACGCTCATAGTGATCCAGCTTTGGCTGGACAACAAGGAGTTATCAGAGGAATATCGGTATGTTTATCGTTATTATTACAATTACTACTTTAATCTATTTAAAAAATTGTTTATGTTAAAAATATGATAAAATTATAAATTTTACACGCCTCATAAGCGAAGCGGATCAGGCGCTAAAATTGTCTCTAATTTATTTTCTATCGCACTTGTAGAACAATATTTACATATAAATGTAATGGAAAAACACTTATGACATTTTTAAAAGGCATTTTGCTTTTTAAATAAATGAAAAAAATCCATAAGATTATGAGGCGTGCACTTTTGGATTTTCCAAACTTTTTTTTTTAAATAATTATTAACTCAATTTTTATTTATTATTTTTTTTTACAGGGAGGAATGTGTTCTGTATTTCTACCCGCTGAAGATCGCGTTGTCAACTTAATTTGCGATCAATTGGAACCAGTTTTACCGAGCCACGGTGACCGAGTAAAAGTAATTTTAGGAGAAGATCGTGAAAGTGTTGGAACTTTATTGTCCATCGACAACCAAGAAGGTGTTGTTAAACTCAGCGGTGGTGAACTTAAAATGTTGCATCTAAGATTTTTATGTAAAATGAAAGGATAAATTTTACAAACCTTTAAGCAACCTAGCACGTTGCTTGATTATTATTATTTTTTTTTTTTTTTTCATAACTATTATAAAAAATATGTAATGTCATTAAGGAAAAATATATTACAAGATTATATAATTAAATGGAGATATTTATGTAAGCGACCAGTATATTTCTATTTTAGAAATATTGTTTTTAAAATTCGCAATTACTTACGTCATTTATTTTGATATTATTATAAGTTTATCGGGTTTTGTTTTTCTTAGTAACTAATTTAAATTAATAAAAAAAAATTGAATTTAAAGTACTTGGTGGCGCTGACGTTAGTGAGTTGTGTTTTTTTCTCACAGCTGTTCATAACCTTACTTATCCAAATAAACAGTTATTTATTTTTTAAATAAAACATACTTATTAACTCACGCAAAATGTCAAGAATATTTTTAAGTAATTTAAAAGTAATAAATAGTGTAATAATTAGCTGCGGTAAATCAAAAACAGCGTCGAGGTTGGCATATTTGGGGGTTGGAGTCATAGCAACAGGTAATAATACTAAAGCTAGCCGACTATATTTAATTAAAAAAATTTTTTTTTTCATCTATTGAATTATAACTAAAAAATGTTTTTTAAAAATTGTGCAAAGTTTTAAAAATGAAATTTTTTTTTTTACTTTTTTGTAATAATTTTTTAAATAAAAAAAAACATTGTAAAAATTTTGAAATGTCTTTATGTTTTTATAATTTTATAGCAATGAAATTATTATAAAAAAATTTAATAAAAAAAATTCACATGTGAAAATAAAGAAAAAATTATTACTTAGTGAAAAATTTTAAAAGCATTTTTATTACTGTAATTGATTAGTTAAAAGAACTTAAAAAATTGACAGCTGTCAGCTAACTTCAGTATCATCAAATGAAAATTAAGTTAGCCGACATCTAAAAAATTTTTATAATTTTTTTTTTATTGAAAAAAATGATTATAAAAAAATAAGAAAAAAAATGTTAGATTTGTAAAAAAAAAATGCAATTTTTTAAAAATATTTTTTTGTTCTAATTTAATTATTAAAAAAAAAATGAAAATTAAGTTAGCCGACATCTGAAAATTTTCTGTAATTTATTTTATTGAAATACTATTTAAAAAAAAAATTAAAAGAAAAAATTTCACATGTAGAAAATTTAAAAAACTATACATGCAATTTTAAAAAAATTATTTTTAGCTCTAATTTAATTAATAAAAAAAAAAAGTAAAAAATTGTTGAACGTCTGCTAATTTAAGTGTAATAAAAAAAAAAAATAAAAATTAAATTAGCCATATGAAAATTTAGTGTATTTTATTTTATTAAAAAATTATTTTTAAAAAAATTAAAAGAGAAAATTTCACATGTAGAAAATTTAAAAAACTATATGTGCAATTTTTTTAAAATTATTTTTAGTTTTAATTTAATTATTAAAAAAAAGTCAAAAATTGTTGCTGCTAATTTAGGTGTCATAAAAAAAATCAAAAAATTAAAAACGTCGGCTAACTTTAGAATAATTTTTATCAACAGGTATTGTAACATACAGTAGTTCAAAAAATGAAGTGTATGCAGCTCAACCACAACTGGATGTATCTAAATTTATGGCAAGCCCAATAACCCCAGTGGAAGAATTAAAAAAAAATGGGAGCAGTATGAAAAGTAAAATGGAAATTCTCATTCTAAAAATACAAGCTGACTTTTGTAAATCTTTAGAGTCATTTGAAGATGAAGAACGCTTCAAAGTTGACAGGTGGTTGCGCACAGAGGGTGGTGGCGGTATTACCTGTGTGATGCAAGAAGGTAAAGTTTTTGAGAAAGCCGGCGTCAATATTTCCGTAGTATCTGGTATGTTACCACCAGGTGCTATCCAACAAATGCGAGCACGTGGTAAACAAATGGACGAAGGCAGCTTGCCATTCTTCGCAGCAGGTGTTAGTGCTGTCATTCATCCACGTAATCCCATGATACCCACAATACATTTTAATTATCGTTATTTTGAAGTTGTTAATAACGACGGTACTGTACAATGGTGGTTCGGAGGCGGAACTGATCTAACTCCGTATTATTTAAATGAAGATGATGCTCGTCATTTTCATCAGACTCTTAAAAAAGCCTGCGACCAGCACGATCCATCTTACTACGCGAGATTTAAAAAATGGTGCGATGAATATTTTTTCATTAAACACCGCGGCGAGTGTCGAGGAGTTGGCGGGATATTTTTTGATGATATAGACACGCCCAATCAAGATGCGGCATTTAAATTTGTGAGCTCGTGTGCTAAGTCTGTTATACCCTCGTATGTTCCCTTGGTTGCTAAGCACAAAGATGATGGGTATGGATATGCTGAACGTCAGTGGCAACTGCTGAGACGAGGACGTTACGTTGAATTTAATTTAATTTATGATCGTGGAACCAAATTTGGACTTTATACTCCGGGTGCCAGGTATGAAAGTATTTTAATGTCGTTGCCGTTAACTGCAAGGTGGGAGTATATGCACGAACCAGCTGTTGGATCTAAAGAAGCTCAACTTATGGAAGTACTCCGTACTCCTAAAAACTGGCTCAATATTAAAGAATAATTTCAAATAATTTAATCTTGAGAATTTAGACAATTATTGAAGATGTTATATTAGAAAATTTACAACGTTTTGCTGATTTATTTCAGCTTCATCAGGCGAACTAAAAATCAAAATTAATTTTTAGTTTTAAGGCAAAATTTATGTCTCCTTAAAATTATAATAGATGAATTTTATTTTTTAAATTGTTAATATTTTAGTAATTAAAAAAAAATATTAAATTGTACATAGAATTAATGATACTGCACTGTTAAGGAAGACACACAAAGAAGATGATGAAGAGGATTTTATTTTTTGCGACTGAAGTTTTACAGCTTCCCGATAACGATTAACAAAATTAAAATTGCTTTAAGAGGGGAAATACGTGAAGAAAGATGTTTTCATGCTGATTTATTATTAATATTTTTAAGGTATGAAAATTTAAATTTATTGAAACTATCAGGTTATTTTATACATATAGTTATATTTTTCTATATTTTACGACAATATAACTTAAAAAGTAGCGGAGATATCAGCTGATACACATCGTAGGTTGTCTTCCGACTTAGCAGTTGGTGTGCACTATAAAAGCCACAATTTTTATCTGGGATCAATGGCACAGAAAAATTACTTTTCTTTATACAATTACGCTGAATATGAACCTCCATCATAAGCGATATTTTTGTTTAAACTATTTTTTTTTAAATAAACAATGTATGAAAAAATGGTAAAAAATCACGACTTAATTTTACAGCCCTCTAAAAAATGAAAATTTTTACTTTTTTTTTTTGGAATTGAGGTTCATATAGAAGATATACATATAAAAAAAGTAATTTTTATGTGCCATTGATTTCAGGTAAAAATTGTGGCTTCCATACTGCATACCAACTTTTAAGTCAAATGACAACTTGCAATATGTATCAGCTGATACCTCCGCTATTTGTTAAGTTATATTGATGTTTAATACGAAAAAATACTCATAAATATATGTATAAAATAACCTGATAGTTTCAATAAATAATATTAATTTTTTATACCTTAAAAAAATTAATGAAAATCATTATGAAAACGGCCATCTACACGTATTTCCCCCCTTAATATAAATATTTGACATATCGACGTTCTATAGAGCAAATTGTCTAACTCAATTTTAAAAAATTTTTCATTTGTTCGAAAAAACAATCAGTTAAAAATTTATTATCACTTTAAAAAATTATTTAATATCTAATAGAGGTATAATATTTTGGTTTAGATCATTCAAATAATTTATAATTGGACTATTGCTACATCAAAATGTTAAAAAAATCACCTTCTACAAAGTAAGGAGTTAGACCAATTGCTAATTAGACCGTCGGTATAATACAAAAATAAATAAAAATAATAATAGTTACTCTTATGGTTAACATCCTCGTCTATTTTTTACGAAGTCAATAGACATAATAGAGTACACTTCACTTATTGTCCAAATTTCCAAGATTAAATTATTTGAAATATTTTGATTATGGACGAAAACTTAGATATTAATTAAAGAATAAATTGTTAATAATATTAATTGTTAATTACCAAGACTGATAGGGATTTTATTATTCCATGTTAATAGCTATTGGATTTTTTTTATTTAAAAATGGCATTAAGGAAATGAAAATACTTAAAATAAATGTTGTAAAAAATATTTTTTCATTAATAAATAAATGTATAAAGATTTATTTTAATTACTCCGTACAAAATATTTTATTTCAACAACTTACGATAAAATATTGATTAGTTTTTAAGTTTACATTTTTCAATCACTAATCTCTAATTCTTTCATCTTGATTTTAAGTTTCATTTCTTCTTCATACTTTTCTTCCTCAATGGTCAATTTTTTCAAGTAACTAGCAAAGAACTCTTTGGCCATACGACTGTTTTCATCGAACTGTTCTTCTGGATCATTTATTTCTTCATCTTCTTCAACTGAACCCTCTGATGCATCTGATCCGTCGGAAAAAGCATCAAAATTATCCACTTGAAGTTGTCGATGGTACCCATTATCAAAACTTGAAAGTATTTCTTGAATTTTATTTGAAGAGTAGCGTTCATTAAAAGATAAGGGACCACTTGGTACGCGTCTACGACGAGGTAAATCTTTGAAGTCAATTTCTTGATCTTTTAAAATTTCATCGTCTTCAACAATTTTTTTCCGTCCATTTTTCATCAGTTCCTTACTCAATTTTCTTTCAGTAATTTGACGAATGTCCAAATTATCAAGTGATTGATCAAGTGTAAAATACTCACCGTTACAAGCATTATTCTTGACACAGTATTTAACAAATGCTCTCCAACAATAATCTTGTTGCAAAATATCAGGGTGCCCTATAACAATAAGCAACGATTTGGCACGCGTTAATGCTACATTAAATCTTTTAGGATTAGACAAAAACCCGATGTGAAATGTATTTTCTTCGGTTTTGTAAATAACTGACCGCACTGTTGAAATAATAATAATGTCCTTTTCTTGACCTTGAAAAACTTCCACCGTCCCAACAGAAATATTATTTAAATTATGATATTCAAGAGCTTTGTGCATTATACTTCTCTGTAATTTATAAGGAGTAACAATTCCAATATCTTCAGGCATAACAATTTTACTACCTAATTTTTTATGCAATAATTTTTTTACATAATAAATAACTTGACCGATTTCATTATCATTGTAAACACTGGGAGAGTATTTTTTACGACCCTCTTTACCTTTGATCGCATGAAAGATCACTGGGAAATTATTTCTCGGTAGCATTGGCCAATTAACAGCTCGAGTTGTATGCTCACCACCCATAGCGACCAATTCACCCTCATAGAATAAATCATTAGGCACGCTCAAGATCGCTTCATGACAACGGTAATTTTGAACTAATTTGGTTACATAACGTGGGTTGTATTTATTATTTTGTTTAGCGTACAAAGACCAACCCATTAAACGCTCCAACATGCTTTTACCTAGAAGAGGTTCAGCGACTCGGGATTGAACTGTGGGACCCAATTGTTTAGGATCTCCAGCAATTACAACTTGTCCGCTAAATTTACTTGAATTTGTTGAATCTTTTCCACACATTAACACCATAGGAATTAATGTATCAATCTCTGTTGCTTGTCCTGCTTCATCAATGAACAAATATGAAAAATAATTCTCACGTAATTTGTATCCGTGAAGACGAATACAAGTTGCTAAAGTTGTTATGACTATTTTTTTGGTCATAAAGACTTCTTTGTTAACGAAAACAGTTTTACGATCGGCAAAGTTAGAAAATGATTTTAATTCTTGCTTTACATCATCGCTGCTTCGAGATGAACTGTACATACGATACATAAAATCATCTTCAACAAATCCTAGATTTTTGAGAAGTCTCTCTGCAATTTCATCAGCTGCGGCATTTGAAGGCGTACAAATTAAAATTTTAGTTGATGAATTTTTTCTCATTATCTGACAAATTGTCTCGACTAATGTTGAAGTTTTTCCAGTACCTGGTGGTCCAAAAAGAATATAAGGCGCAGTATGAGATGTCTTGTTGAGAATGTTCAAAACTGCTTGCTGCTGTTCGGGATTTGTCTCTATATTCTTGTTGATCCACTCGATTTTTTTCTTATCACCGATAACATAACTAGACGATTGTGAAGTTGGAAATAACATCGAAGTGATATTTTCCTTATCAACTGTATCAAGAATATAATTCCAACATTTAGCTGTCCAGTCATCAATACGGAATACAATATTAAATATCTGATCTTGTTTATAAGTATTACGAAATGCCAGTGGTACATCGACACTTACATAATCTTGGCCAACATGAGTCACGATACCAACGCAATGATTTTTTCCATTTGCTTGCATAAGATCAATCTGATCAAATTCTTTTAATGAAGGACGATCCTCCAGTAATCCTGGTACTGCAACTAAAAATTCATCTGGCCTTTTCTGTGAACGTTCCAGTCTTTGATTAAATAAAGAATATTTTTGCATGTCCTTGAGGTACTGATGATACTCAATGTACAAAAGTAATTTCCAGAGGTACCAGTAATTCTGTTCATTTAGTTTGTTGTAATCAAAACTGGCAAGGCCTGATACAATTGCATAATACTGTGCATGGATTTCGGTCATACCCGAAAATGGTTTTATTTTATTATCAAGTACTTCTGATAACTGGGCTGGTATAAAAGCACCACCCATAGATAAAGGTGGTAATCCATCAATGCTGTTGGCAATAAAAAAAATATTATTATTGTTATTATTTTTACTAGGGTGACGCAAAAAAACCGACTATTTTTTTTTTTTTTTTTTTTTTTTTTTTTTTTGAGTCTCGAGTGAAAAAATGTTAGTTTTTAATGTTTTAAGAGTTTTTTCCAAAGGGCAGCTCAAAAAAAAAATTTTTAAGAGGTCGCTCTAAATTTTTTTAAACTTCAAAAATCAAACACTTTTTTTTTTATTTTTTTTCTCGTTATGGTATAATTTTATAGACCAAAAAAAAATAAGTTTCTGAAAGTTTCAGTTCAAAATTTAAACTTTGAAAGGTCGCTCATAATTTTTTTTTCTTTTTTTTAATTAATTATTATTTAGAGTCGGTTTTAACTGCTAGGCTTATATCGCCGACTTTAACTGTTGGGAACTGATAGAAGGATTTCTTAGCATTTAAGAAGATTTCTTTGTATTTAAGAAATCATTTCTTAGTATTTAAAAAATGATTTCTTAAATACAAAGAAATCTTTTTAAATATTAAGAAATCCTTCTATCAGTGGGAGTGGTACGTTGGGGTCTTTTTGTTTTGTGAAAATCTTAACTTACGCGGCAAGGGTTGAATCTCAACCAAGATGATTTCTAAGACTAAATGTTGTAGTTGATTAAATAAAATTATTAAATTAAAAAAAATATGTTTTCTATATTGTGCTTGATTTTTAGTTCATCTCATGGTGTATTTTTATCGATTATTGTACCTATTAAATAAAAAAATAAATGCATAGAAATTTAATTTGAATATTAAAAGGTCGTTCGAAAAAATTTAAAGTAATCCACTAATAAATTAAAAAAAAATATTAGTCGGTTTTTTTGCACCACCTGAAAGTTTACTAATAAATTAAATTATTAAAGTATTTATCTACTGATATCTTACCAATCTTTAGCACTTTTGCTTTTGATTACATTTTCAATGTCGTTTTGATTTTGATTAAACTGATCCATTATTAAAAGTTCTAACCTGAAAATATAAATAATGAGTTACACATGGCCAAAGTAATTTAAAAAGCTAAAATAAATGTACTTACTCTACTGAAACCAGCTCAGCATTTAGATAAACAACACCAGAAAATTAAAGTAATTAAAGAGCGTTAATGAGTTTTTAATTAAAAAAAAAAAAATAAAATAAATAAACACACAAACACGTTATCAAGATTAAAATTCACTAATGGCAACAGATGGTAATAGCGAGTACTTAATATTTACTTGTATTGCTTTCTCAAAATAAATATAAAATAAAAATTTACATAATAATAACGATTATTCAAATGAAACTCACTCACAAATTAAAACATTTATTAAAAATTAAGTAATGAGTTCTCAGGAAGTAAAATTTAGGTTATACTGTGTATGAAAAACTGAGAAGAGGAAGAGCGTATAGTAATAATAATGAAATGGATGATAGAGCCAGCTGTTTGTTTTGTTTTCGAGCATGAGATTCACGTGATGCCGCTGGTGGCTGATGGCGGCGCGTACGTGCCAACTGTTTCGTGGTTTTCTATTGGTTGAAAATGTGCACTCGTGAACAGTAACCACCAATGAGGTTAGTCGTAAGAAAGGATGACTGGTGCTTGTGCGATGCAGAAACATTTGACATCGATAAATGCGTGAGAGTGCTCGTGAAGTGAGGAAGTGTCAAAACTGTCGTTTAACCATCGACTTTTCGTCGTTCTACTCGTGATTATCTTGAATGTGATCTATTTTGGGTTATTTATCATTAATACTCTTAATCCGTTCTATTTAATGAGTATTTAAAACATTAATTTGTATATTAAAAAAATTTTAAAAATAATATATTGTATATATATATATATATATATACATTTATACACATACACGTATTATAAGAAAAAAAAAATACGGGCATTAGAGGCGCTCGTGTTTGTTCGAGACGTAACAAAGGAATCGCACTGCCCAACGGGCTTTCTATAGATTTGTACATATATACATATGTATATTTATAAATATATGTGTTAGTGTATAGTTGAAGAGAAAACGGCTTAGTGAACACAACAAGGCTAGCTAAATAAAGACAGAGTTATTTAATAAACACGGCTACGAGAAAGAAACAATAATAATAACTGGTACTCAGTTTTTGACGTTTTCCAATTAATTACCAAACGGTATAATTATTTTTAATAGTTTTTATTTTTTTTAAGTTCAAAATTAAATAATAATAAAATTATTTTTATTTCAGGTTTACGGAGTGATAAAAAAATATAACGGGATCATACCAAGTGAGAAAGAAAGAGAGAGACAGAGAAAGGTTAAAAATAATAAAATAGGTGGGTAATTAATGATTTAGTGTAATCGTACTGGTAACTGGTAGCCGCTATACTAGCCAAAAACCGAGAGGTAGCAACAGTAGTCTTGGCGAATGCTATTTGCGCATATATACACACATCACCTATATATATTAAATTAAATTAATATTAAATGTAGATGATATAAACACACACACACGCCTACGCCAGAAGCGCGCCATCGTATGACGTTAACGGCGTAACTTACCCAAAGTCCGTGTACCTCGATTCTTTCTATAGTATTTTTCAATTGGCCTTCTCTCGTGTAACCCCTCATATGTAATAATAATATATAATGCGTGTGCGCTTGTGAGTGTCTTGTATATACAAGTCATTTTAAGTGTTTATATGTGTGCGTGCTATATATATATATATATATATATATATATATATATATATATATATATATATTATATATATTTAAAGTTGTATGAAGACTTGGTATGAAAGTCCGTCGTGTTTTTATTTAGTTGGCTCAGCTCTGCTTAATCCAAAATCGTAAGAATACGGTGAATTTATACTTAACTGCTGTACCGTTCAATTGCGTGATTAAAATATGTAGCGAGTGATTTTTAATAAATTAAATGTCAATATGAAAATTAAGTTAGCCGACATTTAAAAAATTTTAAGATTTTTTTTCATTAAAAAAAAATTTCATTTGTAAAAAAATTTAAAAACTGTAAGTGCAATTTTTAAAAAATATTTTTTTCTAATTTAATTATTAAAAAATTAAAAACGTCGGCTAACTTTAGGATTATGTCAATTTTAAATTTTAATATTTATTATTTTTTCATTACTCAGTTTTTAAAGTGACATATTTTTTTTTTTCTAAAGGTCGTTGACGTTTAAATGACAGCTAATGTTATTATTATTATTTGTTATTTGTTTTGATAGGTAAGATCGAGTTGATATAAAAGGTACACGCGGGAACCGTTTTGATGCGCGTCATCGATAGGCTGCGCAGAACGCCACGCCACTTTTGACATTTACTTTGTATACTTTGTATGTGATGCTTGACACGTACACTACTTGTTTACTCGCGGCTCCGATTGCTTTTATCTCCGTGTTCGTGAGAGGATTTAATAAATTATTCGATTAGGCGTATGGTTGTATATTTTAACATAAATTATCCAAGTAGCGTAATATATATATTTTTTTTAATTATAATTATTAAGATTAGGTGAAAATTAAGTTAGTTGACATCTAAAAATTTTTAGAATTTTTTTTTTATTAAAAAAACTATTATAAAAAAAATTTTCATTTGTAAAAAACTGAAAGTGCAATTTTTTAAAAATATTTTTTTAGTTCTAATTTAATAATTAAAAACGTCGGCTAACTTTAGGATTATGTCAATTTTAAATTTTAATATTTATTATTTTTTCATTACTCAGTTTTTAAAGTGACATATTTTTTTTTTTCTAAAGGTCGTTGACGTTTAAATGACAGCTAATGTTATTATTATTATTTGTTATTTGTTTTGATAGGTAAGATCGAGTTGATATAAAAGGTACACGCGGGAACCGTTTTGATGCGCGTCATCGATAGGCTGCGCAGAACGCCACGCCACTTTTGACATTTACTTTGTATACTTTGTATGTGATGCTTGACACGTACAAAAACTGTAAGTTGACAATTTTTAAAAAATATTTTTTTCTAATTTAATTATTAAAAAATTAAAAACGTCGGCTAACTTTAGGATTATGTCAATTTTAAATTTTAATATTTATTATTTTTTCATTACTCAGTTTTTAAAGTGACATATTTTTTTTTTTCTAAAGGTCGTTGACGTTTAAATGACAGCTAATGTTATTATTATTATTTGTTATTTGTTTTGATAGGTAAGATCGAGTTGATATAAAAGGTACACGCGGGAACCGTTTTGATGCGCGTCATCGATAGGCTGCGCAGAACGCCACGCCACTTTTGACATTTACTTTGTATACTTTGTATGTGATGCTTGACACGTACACTACTTGTTTACTCGCGGCTCCGATTGCTTTTATCTCCGTGTTCGTGAGAGGATTTAATAAATTATTCGATTAGGCGTATGGTTGTATATTTTAACATAAATTATCCAAGTAGCGTAATATATATATTTTTTTTAATTATAATTATTAAGATTAGGTGAAAATTAAGTTAGTTGACATCTAAAAATTTTTAGAATTTTTTTTTTATTAAAAAAACTATTATAAAAAAAATTTTCATTTGTAAAAAACTGAAAGTGCAATTTTTTAAAAATATTTTTTTAGTTCTAATTTAATAATTAAAAACGTCGGCTAACTTTAGTGTTATTAAAATTAGAAGTTTTTTTTTACCTAAAATATACTCCGTTAATTTTATCCATTGTTGTTATGACATTAAAGTTAGCTGTCACTTGACCAATTTTTTATTTTATTTAACAATTAAATTAATTCTAATAAATTATTTTTAAAAAATTGCATTTTTAATTTTTTAAAATTTCTACGTCAATTTTTTTTTCTTATTTTTTTTTGTCATAATTTATTTGTTAAAAAAAGATGATACTAAAGTTAGCCGACATTTTTAATTTTTTGATTTTTTTTTAATAATTAAATTAGAATTAAAAAATATTTTTAAAAAATTGCACGTATAGTTTTTTACAAATGAAAATTTTTTTTATAATAGTTTTTTTAATAAAAAAAAAATTCTAAAAATTTTTAGATGTCAACTAACTTAATTTTCACCTAATCTTAATAATTATAATTAAAAAAAATATATATATTACGCTACTTGGATAATTTATGTTAAAAAATTAAATTAAAAAAAAAAATCAAAAATTTTTAGTTGTCAGCTAATTTAATTTTCATTAAAAAAAGTTCTAAAAATCATTAAACATCTGCTAAATTAATTTTTATATTGTTATTTTGGTCCACAGAATACAACACATGTGTCAAAGTACTCGTGGTCGTTAAACGTGCTGAAAGGAGGAGCTGTTGTTGCTACTGGTACTGGTACTGCTGCTGCTGCTGTAGGAATTGGGTCTTGAACTGAAACTCTGGCTATTGAAGACAAAGAAACTCTCTGACTCTGAACTAGAGAACTTAATAAAACAGTGTTGCTTGATGGATCAACTGTGATTGGTCGTGAAAGTGAAATCAGTGTGTTGTGACAATCGAGAGGCTGTATATATAACTGAGATTTAATTTGTAAATATTATTTTTTTTTTATTTTATTTTATTTTATTTTATTTATTTACTCAAAAAGGGACTGACTGATTAATTGAATTAAAGTGCAACGAAATTAAAAAGCTGGAATGATAATTATCTGAGTTTATATAATTTATAAATAATACGTGGCCTGCTGAAGTCTTTCTATTTCTGTCATACATTAATCGTCCACTGATAATATTATCACGCAAACGCAACAAAACGCATATTTACAACTATACTGATCAAGTAACTCAATTCCGTCGACTTTGACACATGAGTTAAGAAAGGAATACACGCAACTTTTTAACGTGCGTGTGTTATAAGTGTGGGGAGTTTGTGTTATCTTTATTTTTATATGTATTTGTTTATTGTGTTGATGCGTAGTGTGTAGAGTTAGACAAAACAAAAATTTTAATATATGTGTAAGTGTTTTTGTGTGTGACAGGACAGGGGGGGACACTAGAGTTGTCAGTATTTCTAAGTTTCAAGTGGCCTAAGTCCCGAGTGCCGGCCGGCCAGCGCGAACGTTTGAAAGACAACAAGAAGATATAAAAGAAGAAAACAAGAAGGAAGTGGAGGCGAACGCGGAGGAGGAACAAGAAGATAACTCTTGACAACGAAGTGGACGCCAGGCAGGCCGGCGGGACGGCTTCACGTTAAATAATACTTGGTCAAATAATAATAAATATACTTTATTAAGCTGACTAAAAAAGAAGTTCACTGAGTCGTAAAATAAAAATTAAAAAAAAAAAAAACAAATTACAAGCTAAATTAAACAACTCGAAAATATGAGCATTGCTGCATTATTGCAAGCCGCTGAGTATATTGAACGAAGAGAAAGAGGTCAGTTTAATTTTTTTTTTTTTCGTATTTTTAAATTTATTTATAAATTATTAAATTAATAAATTATTTATTTAGAAGCTGAGCATGGATATGCATCGACTATGCCCATTCCTGATGACCTCAGGGCGCTCGCCAAGAGGTCAAAAACGAAAAAATCTCAGGGTAGTCGGTTAGTATATTTTAAAATTTGTTATGCTAATATTTATTTATTTATTTGAACGCCAATCGACATTATGCAACAATTAGTACATTCTTTAAATTATAAATTTTTAAATTCTGAAATTTTGGCTCGAAAATTGCACAGAAATAAATTTATTTGGTGATGCCTAGAAAAAATTTTAAAATTAACAGTGTTTACGGAAAAAAAGATGACACTGGATATCATCTCAGATTATACTGAGTAAACAAAAATTTTAGATAGTAGCTAGGATAATCTAGCTTACAATGAGCTATTATCTGAAATTTTTTTCACCACAGATATCACTGAGTATAATCTGGGATGATATCCAGTGTCATCTTGTTCTTTCCGTGTTATTAATAATATTGCAAAATATGTTTCTTGAGAATAGAGCGGAAAGCCCTGGAACATGGAAAGAATAAGATGACACTGGATATCATCCCAGATTATACTGAGTGAAAAAAAATTTCAGATAGTAGCTAGTATAATCTAGATTAAAATGAATGTAATCCAAATATCACTGAGTATAATCTAGATATACAGTATAATCTGGACTTTTTTTAGCTACTATCTGAAATTTTTTTTTTCGCCACAGATATCACTGAATATAATCCAGGATGATATCCAGTGTCATCTTGTTCTTTCCGTGAAGGAGCCATTAAAAAATTTTACAAAACAAGTTTCTAATATCTATTATTGTTATTGTAATTTTAAAAGTTAAAGCTCAAATAGTTTTTTTTTTTTTTTTTTTTTTTTTTTTTTTTTTTTTTCTACATAATAAGTATTAAAGCATGAAGACTAATGTACCTGTTTTTCATTGCAGGACTACCCACAATGAACTGGAAAAAAATCGGTGAGTATTAATAATTGTAAATTTATTCTATCATTCTTCTTACATTTATGGATTTGTATGCTTCCGTGTATTGTATTCTCTAAAAGTTTTCTCCACTGTCACTATTTAAAAACCCGGTATCTGGCTAGGGACTGGACAGACGAAAAGAAACAAGAAAGGGAGTGGGATAGTAATAGAGACAAGAAGAAATAAAAAAAAAATAAGAGATAAAGAGCGAGCGGAACAGAGAAGGAAAGAAATCAAAGTAAAGGGATATACGTGTATATTGGTTTGGAGTGACGAGTAGAGAAGAAGAAAAAAATAAAATAAAATGAAAAAGGACCACAGGGCTTCAGGGGCTTCCTCTTCTTCGTACCATTTGAAATGCATTGAATTTTTAAGCGAGTCTCTTTGTGTAACGGCATTCAACGCTTTTCACCTTAACAACGACTTACTCCCTGGAGGATTTTCCGGACTCGATCTCCGCTGGCCAGTCAGTATCAAATGTTAAATAAAATAAAAAAAGAAGTTAAGAAACTTTCCTAAAGCTCTACATCCAATTTATCCGCGTGGATTCTTTTGTTGAATTCACAAGAATTGACCTTGGCATAAACACTTGTTTTATTTTATAATTTTATTTTGTTATTTTTCATTATACACTGTATTACTTTAATGCAATTGTGAGTCTCGGATCATTGAATACGGTGGATAGTAGTTGATTCTCAGATTGTAACCGTCCCTATGTTGTTAATGTTGCTATTGCTGTTGCTGATGCTAGTGCACACCAATCGCTTGTGTTTGCACCGCCATTGCCTGTTGAAGCCCGTTCACCTTGAGCCCTCGAGGACAGTGGAGCTCAATCGTGTACATATATTTGGAGATTTAATTTTCCTGTAATTACTTTCCGATTTATTTATCATCATAACATACGTGTTGTCATATTTTATAATATATTTTAACAGGTAGTTAAATATATTATTAAATATTTATTCAATATTTGGCAGTCTGGTTTTGTGTCTTTCATAATATTACTGTTATTCTTTACAATATTTTTATTATCATTTTGTTCCACTTTTTTTTAACTGTCATCTTCCTTGTATTGTATAGAGGTCACTGGATATTTCGAATGAACCACATAGCGATTTGGTACAGATGGCAAGTTGCCATGTATCTCAGTGAGAATTCAAACAGCATAGTAAAGAAATAGTAACACCGACAACGAGAGCAAAAGTTGATGCCCTGAGAAAGTAACAAAGACAGTAACAGCATCGAGAGTTAAGATAATAACAGAGAAGAAAAACTTGGACAAAATTTGTTCGGTGAAAGTTAACACGGAAATTGTTATGTAAATAAATTCACGTAAACACGGTTATTTATTATTGTGTTTACGTCATCGTAGATGCATCCAGAATATGTCAACATATAAATAGATTGAGGACAGTGAAGAGAAGTTTAAATAAAATTTAAAAAAAATAGATGTAAAGTATAAATATCTACTGCAAACTCACCATCCTGAGGATATTGTTGTCATTATATGGGTAATTCTTTGTAAGGACGTCTTAAATCTGTACAAAATTATTTTTGATTTTATTAAAAAAAAAAATTAACAAGGGCTACAAAACTATCAGCTTAATGATAATTTCTGTATCTTTTGCCATATAACATGACAGGGGACTGTTTTTTTTTTATCAAATTAAGAAAAATCAAGCAAGCTATTTCAATGCATTCAACTTTTCAATTTCTCAATGAATGTTTACATTAATTAGAATAATATTAAGACTTATGGATCCAATTTTATAAATAAATTATAAATAAAAATAGTTGCCAGGGAACTGAGTTTTGAAGTGGCCCAGACACATGTTTCCAGCACAAACGGTGTTTTGACACTAAATAAAATGGCGATAAAGCGCTAACAGCCTTATGGTTATTAACTCAAGGCTAGTTAGGTCCTTATAAACCTTACAAAAGTTGAAATAACACGCTGGATTTTTTTTTGGCTTTAAATTTCTGGCAGGGGACTGTTTTTAAAATACCTGGGACAAACTTTGGTTTAATGAATTTAATGAAACAAATTAATTTTTGGTACTTTTTATTGAAGAAGATTGTTAGTTAACTAATTAATTTTAGAAACATTATGGACAAAATGATATATTATGGACGAATAACTTAAAATTAAATCTTAAAGTTTCAATTTTGGAAATGGGGCAGCTCAGAGGACTGTTATTTTGGTGGTTTACCAATTTATAGCAAAAAAAACCAAAATTTATTTCATTTTAGTTTTCAATGCTCCAAATAGAAATGTTTTTTTACTTTCGTAAGAAATTTTTTTTAGTAACAAAATAACAATTTTTCCAATAAAAAAATGCCTGGAACAGCAAAAAAGATCCTTACAGAGAATCGACCATATATTTAAAATCTGATGAGAAATGATGATCAACTACTGTAGAGTATAGAACAAAGGGGTGCGATAAAATCTGCATGATCCTTGAGTGATAGACATGACGTCTGGGCATGCAGTAACGAGCTAGCTTGAATCCTGAGGTGTGTAGAGTGAAGAAATAAAAAAAAATATGCGGATAAGAAAAGAGGAGAATTAAGCGAAGGAAGGAAAGAATGAAGAGGATGATCAAGAAAGACGGGGTCAGGAAATAGAAGAGGGCATGGAAAAGTTATAGCGTGGGCTTGAGATATAACTTTGAGCCAAGGGTGAAGAGGTGAAGAAGGTGAACCAGGAGTATAGTAGTACAGTAGAGGAGTAGAGAGAGGAGGAAGCGGGCTTGCACAAGAACCCTGTGGAATGGGGTGTGGGTTATATTAAAAGAAGAGGGATAGTAATCGATACAACGACGAACATTTCGTACGGTCGATACTCGGATACTCTCGCTAACCAAGCGGGTGGGATCATAGTGAATATTATGTAGAAAATATATACGTGACATGGGCGCCTCTTTGCCTCTTTCACCTCACCTTCTATCCACTCGTTTCTGTTCACACCGCGTACACTCTATGCGTGACGATACGCTTTTTTTTCCCTTCCATTGCCTTCTATTTCGTTTCCTTCTCCTCCCTCAGCTTTGCGAGGCTTACACTCTCTACTCTACTCTATATACTATACTAGACGTCACTTGCCAACGTGGAAGCTCACTGAAATTGATCTTGTTGATTTCGGGGATAGACCAACCGCCAGACAGGTCTCACTTGTTCCACCTGGCGTATTTCATGTTCGTGAACCATCGCGACACTTGGATTTTTATCGAGCATGCACGGAAAAAAGTTTCTAATAAAAAAGGAACTAGAAAAAAATTTTAATATAAAAAATTAAATGAAATTTTTTTTTTAGGGGGATGGCCACTGTGAGGTGATTTTCGGGAATTTTTTTGACTGGGATAATAAATGAATTTAGAGATCGGGTTTTTTTTTGTTTAATAAAGTATACATTGAAGATCATTCTCCTAAATTTTGATTAAAAAATATCATGTTGTTGCAAAGTTATAAGCAATTTAATAAGTAGTTTCGAGTTTTCATATAAAACTCTAGACAGAAAGAAAAATTTTTTGACTGGAGAACAAAATTCTTGGCTCAAGAAAATTTTTGGGTTTCTGAAGGAAGACCGAAGTTGTGTTGGCTGAAGTAAAAATTTTTCTTAAAATTCTATTCTTGGTTTTTTTTTTTTGAAAAGTTTATTTTTATTTTTCTACAAACAAAAGTTACATAAATGATAATACAGATTAAAAAATACAATAAAAAAAACTGTAACATAATTATAATAAATAATATTATTTTATCTTAGCTAGCTATATTAAATAGATCTCGCTAAGAGAGATTTAGTGTCAGAAACATAGATAATTTTAACATTCTTAATTAAGCCAAATAATTTATAAAGAGATGCAAAAAGTTGTGAATATAAAAGCATCTAAATCAATTTTATTCTTGATCGAAGTCATTTTTTCTTAATTCAAATTATCATAAATACTTGATACAATAAATTTTTATATTTGGTCAAGATTTTTAGATACTTTAGGGAACTTACTTCAGTTGAGAAAAAAATTTTCTCACCTTGAGAAAATTTTTCTCTTGAATATTTGATACCCATTTTATATTATTTTAGCGTGCAATTATACATATTGAATGAAAAAAAATGATTCAATATTATTTGATCTTCACATTTGACATTTTAGTCAATAAAAATATTAATGAAAATTTACTTCTATCTTTATATTTAATTTTTTGGAGCAAGAAAGAAATTTTCTCAAGACAAGAAAATTAACTTCTATTAAGAACAAAATTTTTTGGAGCAAGAGGCTGAATTTTCTCAAAACAACAAGATTTTCTTGACTTAAATAAATTTTCTTGGATCAAGATACGTATTTCTTAAAGCAAAAGAATTAATTTTGTTGGAATAAGTGAAATTTTTTGTCAAAAAAAAATTGTTTTTTTCGTTCAAGAAAATAATTACGAAAGATATTTTCTTGGCTTAAGTGAACCTTCTTTTCTATGTAGATAAAAATTTTTTTTTTTAAATTTCACAGTGGCTATCCCCCTTAAATTTTAGACAATGATTCTTCAGCGAATGTATATTGATAATATTCTCCAAATGAAAAATATAATAAACGTGGATCGGAGCGTAGAGACACTCAATGATCTCATTGTTGTTGTTGATGTTGATGTTGACTGGCGAGCCTGATTGGAGAACTCGACAGTAATGAAGGAAGAGGAATAGAGTAAAAAAAAATAAAAAAGAGAGAGAATAAATGAAATAAATAGTTGACTTGCAATTACAGTCTCACGGTGGGATGATATACGAGACAAAGGTTATGCGTGTATCTCCTGTTTCTAGGCCGGGGCTGTATAAGGCGTGCGGGTGCTGCTGATGTTTCTACACTCCTACCGCGTGTGTTGTATCGGTTGCAATGTAATGCCTTTGCAGCCGCCATCATGTAGATAGATACAACACACATATTCTGGCCGCGAGACGAACGTCGGCCAAGTGCGCGATTATTGTGGCCAAGCTTGGCAACGATGCAGAGTGCATTGCCCGGCCATGAGTTAGATCGCTTCGACGCTTGACTGTAAACAACCTCGTAACTTTTGCCTTCTTATTTCTGCTTTACTTCACGTCATTCAGCCTTTTTTCTTATCGGTCTATGTCTATATCTATATTTATATTTATGTCGAGCATATAATGACTCCAATCATGTTTCTTGTAAAAAAAAAAAAAATTATTTAACAACACATTAATTTGAATGTATTTATGTTTAGACGAGCGCACCTCAGAAATTGTTTGGAAAAGTTGAAAGTTCTTGTACCTCTTGGTGCTGAAACTTCCAGACACACAACGCTTGGATTATTGACCAAGGCCAAACGATTTATCAAGGTAAGAAACTACTTTTACCGGTGGTACCACCCATACGAGGTTTAATAATAGTACCATCAAATTTTACGGATTGACATTAAATTAATAGAGTCATTTAAAATTAAATTAATGGTTGATTTTTATTTATTTTTTTTTTTTAGAGCTTAGAAGATCGAGAGCGAAAGCATGCCGCGCACAAGGAGCAATTGGCACGAGAGCACCGATACCTGAGGCGACGCTTCGAGCAACTAACAGGTCAACCAAGTACCCTCGCTACACTACGAGGATTTCCTGGCCTTGAGGGCAATACTTATGGTTTGAGCACAAGTGCGCCGTCGACCTCATCATGTAGCTCCGCAGCGGCTGTTGCTGCAGCTGCGGCTGCGGCTTTAATTTCCAAGAGACGCAGCGTTTCTGAATGCTCGGTTACCACTGTATCGTCCACTGGTTCAGCCAGTAGTTCTCGTAATTCTGATAGATCAACGGGCAGCCCGTCTATCTCAGAATCTGGTTTGTACTTTTTCTAGACATGTTTTTTTTTTTTTTTTGGAAATTTTAAACTTGTTAATTGATTTTTAATATTTTTTTTTTCTGATGATTTAGACGAAGTGGATGTAATTGGTTACACGAGTAATCAATCAGATACTGATGATCATAGCAGTGTACAAAGCAGCAGTGACAGTGGTGTTGCTATGTCCACGTCAAGACTTACTCTTTCGGAAATGATGGACAATCTTTAGGTAATTATTATTATTATTATTATTTAAATAACTTAGTCTTGGGAATTTTGACAATAAATGAAGATATTAAATTATAAGAATTGCAACATTTCGCTGATTTATTTCGGCTTCATCAGACAAACTAAAAATCAAAAAAATAATTTTAAGTTGATACAAATATTTTAATTATAAAACAAAAATAGTTATTTTTATAGTTAGCATCCTCGTCTGGTTTTTAAAAAGTCAATAGATGTAAACACACTTGACAGATAAACGTTGTTGAATTTTATTTTATCTTATTAATTTATTAATTTGAATGGTATTTAAGAGAGATCTAAACAAGTTGTTAATATTGCAGTTTAAAAAAATTGTTAGAGATTATGAATATGCTGTTTTACTCTATTACATCTATTGACTCAGAATTTGGGGCTATTTTTTGACCTCCAAAAAGTATTCTATCAACGCAAAATATCTGAATTTTTAGGTTTATCCTTCCGATAGTAATAAAGAGAAAGGCCTCACCAAATTTCAAATAAATCGATCAATAACTTTTTGAGTTACAACACGAGCAGTTATTAAAAATACAGTTTCGAGATAATCGCATTTAAATTTATATTATGCACTATAATACGCACTCCGGTCGCTCCATTATATAAGCTATAACTTCGTCAATACTCAAGATTTTATTTTTTTCTCTCGTCAGTACATGCTCAATATATTTTCAGACTATTGAAAAAAAAAAAAAAAATAAAAAAATTGATTTTTTGAAAATTTTACATGGACTTCCCCCCTTAATATCTTCATTTATTGTTCAAATTCCTAAGATTAAGTTATTTAAATATGGACGAGATCTTAAATATTAATTATCATTTTTAATTAGTAAATACAGGATCAATTAACGTGGAATATGTTTTAGATGGAAAATATAAAAATGAAGAGCTGTGGTAAGGGAGCATTCCGAAATTTTTATTATTGTTTTGACCACGATAATAACTAATGATAATTATAATATTTCGCCGAAGAAGTAACCATTAATTGGATAACATTTATCGATTGGCAAATATCACTGTCACCCCAATATTTGCGATGGTGAGTCAACATGATTTAGCGGTAATTCCATTGATAGTTTGACAAAAAAAGAATTCACAACACATTGGCGTAATAATAACTTAAAAATAATTGAACTAATTACGTAAACGGTTGTTTACGATTTTTGCATAAAATTAATCTAAATAATCAGTGAATTTTTTCATATTATTATACAATATTTATTTATGATTTATATAAATTATGACAGTAATAAGTCGGCTCCGCGATAAATTTTAACTGTACATTATAAATGTAACTATTATCAATTAATTATTTAATTAATATTTTACTGTAAATAATACTTCTAAGGAAACGGGGATTGGCAAGTCACAAGACGTGAATTATTATTATAAGCGATACTATATATAATTAGAGGAATGTTGTAACAAGATAATAGAAAAAAAAAAAAAAGTTAAAAAAAAAATATATAAAAGAAATGATATATATTGTCGAGATATCGGATTACACACGTTGTGAAATTAACTAAATTAAGTAATTAAGTGATAGGGACAAACGTCAGATTATCTTGACTAAAAAAAAAAAAAAAAAAAATTAAAACAAATAAATTTGAAAAACAAAAACAACAAAAAAAACCATATGAACGAAAACCAAAAAAAAATTATACTGCAATTTTTTCAGTAATTCAATTAATTTTATTTCTATATACATAACAAAAATAAAACAGTGTTTAGTTCACTCTTATAAATTTAGAAACTAATCAAAGCTTTTTAATTAATTGTCAATAAGATTTTATGCGTGATATATTTATTAAATTAATTTTTTTCTTTTAGTTGTCGGTATTACCAAAGGTAAAACGCGACAAGTTTATAACGCCAGTAAAAATAATATTTAAAATAAAAAAAAATTTATTTGCTCTTGGAGCTAACGCTATTTATATTTAGATTTATGTTTACATATATATATATTTTTATTATGATTTAAATTATATTTTAATAATTTTTCAATATGTAATATGACAAAATTCATAATCGAAGTTTGTAGCCCCTCAAGTGTTAACAAATTGATAAGAGCATGAAAATAATTAACAAAGTTCAAGTGTAACGAGCCAGTAAGTTAAAAAAAAAATAAACTAAATACCATCTGAATGATTTAATGAAAGAAAAATAATATAAGAGATAGCTACCATTAAGCATTACGAAGGACACAGCTGTTATTAAAATTGATAACAATAACAAAGTGTTGATGATTCCTCGTTAAAAATAAAGACACATGATAAATGTGTTCAACGTCCAATATAACAAATTATTACAAGAGGATCCATTAAGCTTTTCAAATAATTCAATATCGTAATTACGCTTATTTTGAATTGAAAAATAAATTAATTTTTATGTGATGCTTAAACGCTAAAAAATTAGGGGCGTGTATAGTTTCATCAACACGTTAATGAACAAGTCATTAAATACATGAGTAGTAATTAAAAAAGAATTATATTATTAAGTATTAATTTAATAAATATATTAAACGAATAACAGAGTAAAATAATTTAAACAAAAATAAATGGTAATATAATTGACGTAATTTACGTCATTTGATATTATAATTGAAAGAGTACAAATTCTGTAAGAGTCCCTGTATTCATGCGCAACCCGTGATCTAAAAAAAGAATGTCACATGTCTGTCTATTATATATATACAACTACTGCGGTTCTCCAGTACGAACCTGATGAAACTGATATAAATTTGTATGTAAATTAAATTATCTCTGTAATATGTGTGTGAGGAAATTGTCGATTAAAAGAATTAAATTTCATTAATTTGATTGTAAAAAAAAAAAAAAAGGAGACTGATGAACAAAATTGAATGATCTCGGATTTTGGTTTAATCCCGTGTAAAAATCATCTGATATTATGATTAGGTTCATTATGAATATCATATTTTAATATTGAAACCCGTAATAAGTAAAATACTTATGTAAACAAATTTTTTTTAAGTAGATTAGTAAAATTTTTATTTTTTCTATTAATTAGAGAAAAAGTATAATAATTGACAATATTTTTATCATGCACTTTACTGTTGAACTACATTACTTTTTTTCTTGATTTTCTCAATTTAAAAGAATATTTAGAAAAACACTATCTTGGTTTTAAAAAAATTTTTGACAAAATTATTCCGTCTTTAGATAATTATTTTTTATTAAAAAAAAAATTTTAATTTTAAAAATTGCTTTAATTTAAATAATTTTCATTATTTCCTGTATATAGTTATGACTCAATAATTTTATATCATGATTTAAAAAGGCTAACAATATCACGGCTGCCCAATTTTAAAACACAGTAACTGCAAAATTTTTATACCTGATTTTTTTAGTATTGCTGCATTTCTTATAATTTTTAGACCTTAAATTCAAGTGTTTTTTCTTAGAAATATTTATATTCAAGTATTTTCTATTCATAAATAAAATTTTTTATTAATTTTTATAATCAAATTACTAGAAATTTTTTTTTTCTAACAAGAAAAATAAAAATTTTATAATCAAGTTGAAAAAAAATTTGTTGCCATAAATATTTTACTTATTGCGGATATCAAATGTATATTATTATGGTTTTTATATGAATCTCATATTTGTGTCAAAATATCAGATGATTTTTACACGGAATGAGCTGAAGCTACAAGAAAAGAAAATTAGAGTATATTATTAATTAATCAATTAATAATTAATCAGTCGCAATTGTGATTGAATGTAAGAGATTGTAGAAAAAGTGTGGGATTAATTGTGAATTTTTTGTTTTTTGTGTTTTATCGCCAATAATGGGGGTGATATTTGTAGAATGATCGTACATAAGACATTTAATATTGATGTGCAGTGAAAAATAGAAAGATAAATGGCATTAGTGCGGATTACGCAGCGGCAATACTACGATGCAGTGCAAATACGCGTACTATTATTATTATGATATCATTATGAATATTTGGGATTAATGTGTGTACTAAGTGATAGATACAGTTGTTACTCGATCTAATTGATAATGATTGCGTATGTAATATTGTGAAGTATATATTTCTGAAGCTGTCCGGTCTAAAGGATCTAAAATAAATATATTAAAAATTGAAAAAAAAAAAAATTAAAACAGAATTTTAATGGAAATGGGTGTTATTTTTAGATGTATATTTGGTTATTATGAATTACAATCGAGCAATGGAAAAAAGAAACAATTTTAAATTGTTGTATAAGATTAACAAAAAAAAAATAGTTGAAAAGAAAAAAAAAGAAATATATAGATATATAAAATTAATAGTACTAATTACTATAGTAATTGTAATAAAAAATATGTACATGGATAAATTAATTAAGGTGTTTATGTATAATTTTAGTGCAAAAAGACAATTGATAAATAAATAAAAAGTGTTACGCGCACTTTATTTGTTGATTATCAAAGCACAACTTAATCGTCCAGATAAATTATTTATCAACAGGCTAACTGGAATGAATAAATAATTGAAAATAGTGATCCAATTTATATCAAAATGTTTGATTGGGCATTGATTTTATTTGTTAATGAAGCTTTGGTGTCATTATTATTTTACATTTTATTATACATTAATTTTACACAATAGCAGAAGAGAAAAGATTATAAAAATTTCTCAGTACTTTTACTACAGCTTTCGTTTTTTTAGGTCAGGCTACAGATGGAAATAAATAACAGAAAAATAAAATAATTAAAAAAAAATATTTGTGTATAAATATAAACCTAAGAACGGATGCCGACAGTGGTATTTATTGTCATAATGTGGAGTGATACGTTATCTTCTTCGGGATTAAATGAAATATATATTATACAAGATTAAGATTCACCTCAGTGTAGATCTTAATAAATAGTAGTGATAATAATAATAATTTATTAAACTGAAAAAAATAAAATTTAGATATCAATTTTGATCAAATTGAAGTGTATCTCTCAAAGAGATTTTTTGTACAAAGTTTATTACGTGGTGATACTTCTTCCGAGTTAAAGTGCGGTCCTTTTCTCAGTTGTTGTTGAACCATGTATAAATAATTAATGATCGAGTCAGAAATATTATTATTATTATTATTATTGTTACTTTTTTTTTTTTTAAATATGAAACAATTTAAAAATACAAAAGCAAGATCTTACTGAGGTACATTCGAATTGGGAATGCTCCAAAACATTTAATTGAAAAAAAAAAAAAAAAATAAAAAAAAACAAAAAAAATTAATAAATAAATAAAAGAAAAATTACGAAATAAAAAAATAAAAAAATCAAGAGTAATTAGTAAAAGTGATATATATATATATTTAAAAATGCCGTTAAATACCGGCAATAAAGAGCATTTAATCAATGGTAGAGATCAATGCTTAGAGGGTATTAATTAAAAGCTGGAGAAACAAAAAATTAATCAATATAAACTAAAATTAATTTTACGAAATGATGTTATTTAGAATTGGATAACAATCATATACAAATTAAAAGAGAGAATTATTATTATTATTTTAATTAATATTATTATTATTATTATTATATGGATGAATATTATAAGTTTGAACGTGCGTATGTTAATATTATGGAGTACACGTGATGAAGCGCGATATTATAAATAGAAGGAAAAAAATGGAAATAATTAAAATTTAATTAATTAAGGCAAAAAAATTGGTGGATGAATAAAATTTTCTAAATTTACTATTGTCAATTACTACGTTTCCATGGTTATTCGTCTGGATATTTGAAAAATTTAGAGACGTTAATTAACTCAATAACCAATGGAAATGAAGTAAATATTATAAGTATAAATTAATGAAATAATTGTGAACAATTTGACGACTAATCTTAATGATATAAAATATCCATGATCGTTATGTTATTAATTGATTGATTGATTAATTGATTGATTAGTTTAATTATTGAAATAATAAACTTAAGGGAATGAAATAAATAAATAACAAATTAAAACAACAATGGATGGTTTTTTTTATTCATATTAAATGATCAATTTTTGTTTTTATTCACCAGAAAATAAAACTAAAACTCGAACATGCGTACGATTGTTAAAGTTTATCGCAATAAACCATCAGGTCTTATTTTTTTTAATCTTTGTTAGCTTCAACTTTATCATACTTTTTTATTTACAGGCTATTATATAAAATATATGTTTTCAACTAAAATTTAACAGTGTAGAACTATTAGTTGATAGATAAAGCAGTTTTTTTTAATATCTTCTAACGTTATAAAAATATATATATTGAAGACCAGTTTTTCAATTAGGAATGTAATTATACTCAGGATAAAATTATTAGTGTCAGCATACTTACATAGATAAAATATATAGATTATAACTAATACTAAAGTTAGCCGACGTTTTTAATTTTTTGATTTCTTTTCATTTATTAAATTATTACGATATACAGAATAGGCAATCATCAACAAATATGTTATTAATATTGACATTTTTGGAGGACCAGCAGATAAAATAAAAAGTGAAGCAAAAAGGGTGATTCTAAAATAATAACATTCCAGATGTACAAATAGTGATTATAAATTATCAGTTATATTCTATCGATTAGTGATTATCAATTATCAATTACTAAAAATTTTTTTTTTTTATTTTTTTTAAATTTCTTTTAATTTAAAATTTCTTTAAATTACTAAACATTTTACACATGAAAATATAACATATTGTTGTAAATTGCCAGGAGCGTTTCTTTACAAATAAATGAATAAATAAATTATAACTAAAAAATATTTTTTAAAAATTGCACTTATAAATCTTCAATAATTTTACACATGAAAAATTTTTTTTATTTCGTAATAATTTTTTTAATAAACAAAATTCTAAAAATTTTTAAATGTCGGCTAACTTGATTTTCATAGACATATTTTAATAGTAGATAAAATTGTATTTTGGATTTAACATCTGGCCCTAAGTGTAAGTATATACAAATTCTATTAACTCTGTCAATTTTTTCGATTTTTATAAAAAATCAATCACAGTAAAAAAATGCTTTAAAAAATATACGCTAATAATTTTTTTTTATTTTCACATCTAGAATTTTTTAATTAAATTTTTTCCATAATAATTTCATTGCTATAAAATTTATGGTACTAAAATTAACAGATATCTGTCATTTTTTTTTAATTTTTACAACGATTACATCATTGTGAAAAAATTTTAATAAAAAAATCCTAATACTTCTAGAAATTGAAAAAAATTACAAGTGCAGAATTTTTTAAAAATATTCTTTTAATGATAGCTTCAGTATTTTAATTTATCACATTAAAGTTAGCAGTCTTGACCATTTTTTAATTTTTTTTCAACAAAAAAATTTTTTATGAAAAATTATTAAAAAAAAATTGCATTTTTAATTTATTAAAATTTCTACAAGTCAAATTTTTTTTCCTAATTGTTTGTTAAAAAAATTCTTAAAACTATTAAATATCTGCTAAATTAATTTTCATTGTTAATTTTAAAGTGTTTACTCATTTATTATTATAAAACAATTGAAATTTTAATAAATTTTATTATGCTATTAAAATTTAAAATTATTCTCTATTTTAATAAACTTTATGTCATAATCCATTTAATTTTCACTTGTCATTTAAATAATTACTGCGCATGCTCAAATTTTAATTTAAATATTAAAAAAAAATGACTGTAAAATTTATAAATAAATGAGAAATTTTTTTTCTCTAACAACAAAAAAAATTTAATGGAGTTCAGGAACTAAATTTTAATGTAAAAAAATACTTAATAAAATTTATAAGTACAACTTGACATTTGATTACAGCAGTAGTTTAACAAAGATGGCAGAACCATCAAGTATCAGGTATAAATGTCGTCGTGTGTCATATTTTTATACGTGAATTTAATCTTATTGTCGAGTGGACAGCAGTTGAAAATGTTAAAAAAGTAACGCTGATTATCGAATAAACCTATTAAGCAAATAATAACAATGACGCCAACACGTGTAATATTAATGTCATGTGGAAGTTACAATCCACCAACGAATATGCACTTGAGAATGTTCGGTAACTATATCTATACTTATGAATTATTTAAAAGAGTATAAATACATACTATACATACATCATACCTATTGTACGTTTGATTGATCAATAACATTTAAATAACTTGACTAATTATAATTTAGAAATCGCACGTGATCATTTGCATCGGATGGGCACTCACATGGTTGTGGGTGGTGTCATGTCACCAGTTCACGATAGTTACGCTAAAAAAGACCTAGTTGTTGCTGAACATCGTTGTGCAATGCTAAAACTAGCGTTGCAAAACAATGAGTGGATACGTGTTAGTACCTGGGAAACGCGACAAAACTGTTGGACCAGAACCAGAGCCAGCCTTAAACACCATCAAAACTTATTAAATTCCGTTCTTCAAAATTCAGATGGTAGTATCGGAAATCATATTGACATTCAGGATCTCGAATGGATTCCAGAAAATATTCTTAATGGCCAGGATAGAACTCCGATACAGATAAAACTTCTCTGTGGAGCTGACTTGCTGGAGAGTTTTGGCAAGCCTGGTCTTTGGGCTGATCAAGATGTAGGTCTTACGAATAATTTATGATACTGAAATTAGTAGACATCTGACATTTTTTTTTATACCTAAATATTTTTTTTTTATTTTTAAATGTTGAATTTTTTAGTGAAATTTTTTCATAATTATTTATTTAGTAATTTACTAGTAATCTTGCAGTCACTATGTGACTGCCGTGACTTGTGAACAATAACTAATTAAAATTTTGCTTTATTAAATAATGACTTTTGTGAAATTGCACTGTATTTTCTTTACTATTGACGTTTTTAAGGATATAAACTCGTCCCGATGTTACACTCATCGAGAGCTTTCATTTGAGTACCTACATGTATTTTAATATATATTATATATACATATATATATATATATATATATATATATATATATATATATATATAATATAT